AGAGTTGGTTACAACCCAGGGTCACTATTTCTAATTACCTTAATCCAACTCCTTTCAAGTTTGCTTCACTTAATTGTTTCTCCTGGATACCAGTTGAATCCATGAGATTTCAGTTTTGTTTTTCCGTTGTTGTGTAGTAACTATGGGTCTCTGCTGACTATTGAAAACCTAATAGAAAAATAATTGAATACTACTTCTACCAATATTGTTATTCGGGTGGGGGTTTTGTAGCTTTATTTTTTTCCTTTTAAGCATAATCATAGAATCATATCGTAGAATGGTTTAGGTTGGAATGGACCTTAAATATTGCCTAGTTCCACCCCCCCTGCCATGGGCAGGGACACCTTCCACCAGACCAGGTTGCTCAAAGCCCCATCCAGCCTGGCCTTGAAAACTTCCAGGGATGAGGCCTCCACAACTTCCTTGGGCAACCTGTTCTGGTGCCTCACCACCCTCAGAGTGAAAAATTTCTTCCTAATATCTAACCTAAATCTACCCTCTTCCAGTTTGAAGCCATTACCCTTTGTCCTATCACTACATGCCCTTTTAAAAAGTCCCTCTCCAGCTGTCTTAGAGGCACCCTTCAGATACTGGAAAGTTGCTACAAAGTCTTCCCAGAGCCTTCTTTTCTGCAGGGTGAACAACCCCAACTCTCTCAGCCTGTCTTCATAGGAGAGGTGCTCCAGCCTTCTGATCATCTTCGTGCCGCTCCTCTGGACCCGCTCCAACAGGTCTTAGGTTGAGGACTCCAGAGCTGGACACAATATTCCAGGTGGGGTCTCACCAGAGTGGAGCAAAGGGGCAGAATCGCCTCCCTCAACCTGTTGGCCACGTTTCTTTTGATCTGAAAAAGGCAGAAAGTAGCCAAAAGTAGTTGAAATTATACATGGGTAAGAATGCTCTTGCTTTGCAATTGGCTTAGCAGAAAATCAGCCTTAAGTACTCTGCCCTTGCATCTCTGTGAAAGAGCTTCCACAGAAAAAGCGAAATGCCTTACAAATGCCTTCACTGCCTTATAAATAAGACTTTGTCAAAATGGTATCATTTGTGCATATATGGGGCCAGTCAATAATTCATTTTAATGCTTCTCAGCAAATATCACATTGCAATTGAACACTGTATATGTTATGATTTCACCACAGGTCCCAGAGAGTACGAAGAGCTCTTGGGAGAGCTTTACTCTTGCTTTTAACCTAACACAATTCCTCCACATGTTCTGTTCATTCAGAATTATCTGACAATTTATGGGAGAAGTCATCTTCCAAGACTTCAATATGTTCCAGAATGGGTCAGCCTTGGGAAAAACATAATGGGTACAATGCAGAGTACAATGGGAATAGAAGGAAAAAGATTTGAGAGATTTTCATTTGTCATGTTTTCCACCCAGTTTCTACTGACTTAAATAGGAATGTGGCCTCTATTGTTGCTTTACATTTCCCTTTGCTCTCCTCTTCCTGGAATAACTTCCCCAGTAGCGTGAAAAGGCAAAATTATAACAGATTCAAGGTCAGGGAACTATTTACTGATCTTTGGTTGTTATGCAAATTTCTTCTGATAGGAAGATATGATCCAGGAAATAATTAGTATTTTTCCCTCTTAAGCTAAGTCCATAAGGCACATCTGAAAGATTAGGATGGTTCCAGACATAGTTCATCATTGATGGAAATGTGCATAATGTAATATTTTAATCCTTCTAAGGTGTTCTCCATAGCACAAAGAAATAGAATCAGTATCCATAATGTATGGCCATTATATATTCATATATTCATTTCAAGATAGTAATACATTGAGTAGCTTAAGAAATACTTAAATATGCAACTGTATTTTTTAAGATATTGGGGAGGAAAAAAAAAAAAAGAAACGTTAAGAAGAATATAGGCTACGCCTCGGAAAAAGTGGTGACTTTTGCTATCGGGATGATTAAAACCCATGTCCTTTAAGGTACAGTTTATAAACACAGCAATTGGTAACACATATATAAAAAACTCACACCCTTTCTTTTCCTGAAGTGCACTTACTCCCAAAGAATAGCTTGGTATCACATCAGGCAGGTTATAAAATCAGGCTCGGAAAGTCACCGCCGGCAACCCAAACTGAGATTCAAAACCGAGAACGGGCTTATACCTCTTGAATTTCTTGGGTTAGCCCGCATTTTCTCCCGGCCCTTCACCGCCTCACCGACCGCGAACGAGTTGAGGGGCAGAGGTTTTCACACCTCATTGCGGTTTTATATTTTACTTCAGACGCCTTCAGCTAAAGCTGAATGAGAACCATTTTAATGCATCGCATAAAACGAAGTGCCTGCGCAAGGGAGGTAGTTATAAAAAGCGGGACGGCTCCAACAAGCAGATGCTGCCTCATCCCCGCCG